TTATGACGCAACTCAAAAATTAACTAAAAGAAATTGTTTCAATGCCGAAAAACCCTCAAATCCGATCCTCTCAACCTTGAGATAATGTACAAAAAAAAAACTTCATATCTCGAAAAGTGCATCTTGTAATGTGCATTATATAGACCATCAATTTTCAAGTGTTTGTAGATCTGATTGATCTACATTATTTTTTAAGCTTTAACTTTTATAATTAGGAATAGAAAAAATTTCCAGGCCTTCATAAAGACTTTTTGTTTTGAAACAACATATTTCGACATTATTTGAAGGTACACCTTACTTTGACTGTTTTGAACCTCAGCCTTATACAAACTAGACCCTTTTAAATGGACACAGTTCAACAATTGTGTCCCTTAACACTTCATACTTTTCTTATTAATTAGGGGATTGTATGTAAGGAGCTCATTTACCTTTGATATAATGAGGTCACAATTACTTACAACTATCCGATGTAAAATTTGATAGCTTGAGTGTATCACAAAATTTGCAAAATTTTCTTTTAAATTTTGAGCTTGGTCAATAACGAATAAATGCACCCATCTAATTTACATCCAATGGTCAATATTAAATGTGACTCATGTTGTAACAAAGATAAATCATCTCATTATATACTTTTCCATTAGTTAGTTTAATGTATGTTGAAATTGTATTGTCACCATTGCTTTTCAATTGCTTCAATTGACTTGAGCTACACATACACGTAGGCTAGTTTCCCAGTATATAGTGAGCCTTATCAAATTGATTTTACCTAGGCTAGCTTCCCACCCTACAGTGGACCTTATCAAATTGATTTTACCTAGGCTAGCTTCCCACCCTACAGTGGACCTTATCAAATAGATGTTACATCTAGAGGAAAGAATGACACAAAAAAAAGTAGTAAAGGACTCAAGAGTCAAGACCACCACCCCCTTTTACCCCTCACTTATTTCTAGAGGAAAGAATGACACAAAAAAAAAGTGTAAAGGACTCAAGAGTCAAGACCACGCGCCCTTTTTCCCTCACATATTTGAATTGAAACTTTTACTCTCTTTCTCTCTCTATATATATATATATATATATAAAAGAAAAAGATGGGAGTAGCCCACTAGCTCATATGAACATATGAGTCCAACGATCCAGATTGAATCTGGGCCGACCAGATGATCACGGATGTTCAGTAGTGCTTGAATTTTTATGTTTTTTTTTTCTACAAATCCAAATCATTTGAAATTTTAGATGTGTGTTCTACTCATCAAGGCACACCAAAATACCCCCCAAATCGTTTTAGGGGTATTTTGATCAATTTATTTCATGTAAAAAATAATTTTGATATTTTTCAAA